TTTTTTCTACAGTGTTGTGATTATTTTTGAAGATTTAGAAAAAATGGGAAACCCAAAAATGTAAATATAGCGGAAAGTATGTAGAACATTTTTAATTGATCGTGACTATGTAAAATCAAAAAGACTTTTAAAAAAGGCGCCATTTGACAATGCTGGGGCCAAAGAGGATTGATTGAAGTAGAGGCTCAGTCAATGAGGATTGACTAAAGTAGAGTCTCAGTTCTGGGGGTTTGAGTGACCCCAGCGGCATCGTAATGGATTTGGTTAAGGGTTCACTGGACTTGGGTAAGGGTCGCATGGGGGCAAAAAATTTAAGTGACTCCTGAAAATTTTTCACTCAAACCCCCAGAACTGAGAGTTAATCCTCTTTGGCTGGGGCAGTGCTGTTTTTTTATCATAAATCCTAAGGAATCCAATTGCTACTCACGAAAGTTGTATCACCGTCAATAGATGAATGTCGAATAGGATTGACATATCTAATAAGGTTCGATTCAATAGTTAAATTACTTTTCGTGAGGTCCCATATAATGACACTTTTATCATTAGAGCCACTTGCAAGTAATGAGCCATCTCTCGAAAAGGCACAACAGCCGACGTATCTCTTGTGCTCCACCAAAGCAGCAACCATTTTTGCAGAAATCTTGAAACATCGTTGCAATTAGCATTGAAAATAGCATTGAAAATCACTAACACTAGCCATTTCTAGTTTGAATTTAATGTAGTTACCTTAAAATATATGAAAACCTGGAATACAAATAGTATTGCGGAAACCACTCAAATGTTTATAAAAAAATAATAAAGAAAATGAGGGAAAATTGTTGCAGGGGGGTGAAGTGACACATTGATTTAAAGATCTGCCAAGTTTACAAAAAAACAATAAAAAATACGTGGTTTATCATCGGTAATATTCGACAGACCATTTCGATTCAAGATTGTTATTGGCTGTTAAATGTATTCTTCTCCGCCATCATGGTAGCTGATAAACTGTGTGTTTTTAATTATTTTTCTGTAAACTTCACAGATTTCTTTAAATCAATATCATTTTTTATCCCCCTGCCGCTATTATTCCTCTTTTCTTTTATTATCTTTTTATAACCATCGGAATGGCTCTCGCAACACAAATATGATTCTCAATTTTAATATATTTTATGCTAACAAGATAGAATTTAAACAAAAGATCACGTTCGATAGATAGTACATGCG